GGCTTAACTCCAAAGGAAGCTGAGCCTGTGTGTGTGTGTTGCGATTCTTCTTATTACAGAAAAAACCCAATAGCCCAGAAAGAGGAGGCGGGTGATCTGAGAACAGGTGCGCTTATCGTTATGTGAGTTGTGCCAGTTATTTTTCAGCACCTACTGTGTTAAACCCTGTCATGGACACCTGGGAAAGGTAATAAAAGCTCATTTTATAAACTGGATTTGACACTAAGTTCTGTTTATTTGCTTTGTGCAGTGGTACCACAGCGAAACACACTAGAACAACTTGAGTGAAACACAGCTTACTTCCTCCAGGCGCAGCTAATTAATTTGTTGCAAAATCGCCCAATTTAATACACTGTTATTGAAGATGATCAAAGTCCCATTGTTCGGTGGACTATCTTTGTTTGGAGAGCCTCCAGTCAAGACGCAGAATGCACAGATCGGTATTTTTACGTTCCCATCTGCAGGGGGGAAGGAGAGCAGTGGGCTGATTAAAGGCTTTTCTACCTGGGGCAGCTCCTGCAACATAAGCTGAGCCTGTGAGCGTCAAATTCTATAGTGTATCCATAGTCAGCTTCTTGCGAGGATGCTCATACTCTCCTCTAAGCACGTCTTTTGGTGGCTGCTACCAAATTGATTCACCAAATGCACTCAAAAAGTTGCTTAAAGGCATATGCATAGGGAATGAGAGCAGAAGACTCATTCTGTGTCGCTATCCCAGACTGCTTTCACAGCTCCAAATAAAGAGGACATGCATTTGTTTATTGTGGGATAATGGAGGCTTTGCTGTCTCTTGACTGACGGAGATGTTTGCAGGAGGGATACTCAGACCCAGGAAGTGGGAAATGCTTCTGGTTTCCACCGTACGGATGTTGTTTGATGCAATGGGGCATGGATTGCTCTGTGCAGATGAAGAGATTTGGAAGGAAGTCCGGGAGGTGAGTGCAATCATTCTCCCACAGAGCTTTGGGAACACAAGGCACTTTGTACAGCCCTTATAGAATCATAGCATGGTTTGGGTTGGAAAGGACCTTGAAGACCATCGAGCTCCACCCCCCCTGCCATGGGCAGGGACACCTCCCACTAGACCAGGTTGCTCAAAGCCCCATCCAACCTGGCCTTGAACATCTCCAGGGATGGAGCTTCCACAAATTCTCTGGGCATACAGTAAAGTTGGTTCTCATAAGTTCTTCATGCTTCTAGCTAGCCTGGGTTCAGCTGGTTTCAAGTAGGTCTAGACCAAATTCCATGGAGCTCTAGACAGATGAAGTATCTTAATAAGGACATAAGAAGGGCTGCAGAGCCTCTCTGCTGCTTGTGTGACACCAAATAGGTGGCACACCTCCTTAACCCACATCACCTGCTGAGAACGAGACCCTCCAGTCAGCCACCTCTCACCCCCGCAAAAGATTCCCCTAAGTCATGCAAAAATAAACCTTGATTTAGTTTGCCAGGAATGTACTGACCATTTTGCCACAGCTGGACATGACTCAGTTGATTACAAGATAAATAATTTTAATGAATGACTAAGCTAATGGTTCCTCTGGTCTTCTAATTTACTAAACTCAGTCTTATTGTAACAGCCACGTTAAATTCAGGTGTGTCATTAGATGGTGAATGCGCACACACAACCACTTTTGCCCACAGTGCTGCTCTCACCAGTGAGGATACCCAGCACCCAAGCCAGAGCTAAAAAAAAAAGTGTTGAACCGCTTACCTACCCAAGAGACTAATGTCTGCTAGACTTACTTACATGCAGAACTATGTAACAGTCCCCTTCAAAAAACGTCCCATAAGCCTTTTCAGGTACAGGAACCATCTTCATATTCTGGAAGGAAATGAGTGTTTGGGTTATTGCTAGAACTTCAGAGCCAGCAGTTGATGTGTGTGAAACAGGACAGCTGGGGTGCATAAAACACTAAGGAGACAAGCAGGGTTTGGAGAAGGAAGAACCAGGGCTGTGCTTGTGAGCTAGGAAAAGCCACTTCTGGAGGAAATCTCAAAAGCACTAAGGGGTGAGACGGAGCAAATGATAATGCTGCTTGGACAGATCAACAAGTAATTTTTAGTCTCCTTGCCCTTCTGCAATCCTGTAGGTCTAGAGCAAGAAGACCTGGAGGTCAGGCTGAAGTGCTCCAGAACTTGTTTTTGTAGGGAATTTCCCAGGGGAGTGAGCACATCTCATCCTAGGTTTAGTTCCGCGACATGGTTTTTACTCAGTACCTATAAATTCAAGGATAACTTTCAGAGCTGCATTAGGATAACCACTTTGCCAGGGATTCATAGCAACTTAGCAGTACTGATAACAGACAGATTTGAGGAAACTGATGTGTCCCTCACCCCTCCAGACCCTGACTGCACCCTTCATCTGGTACAAGTGCACAATTAACCAGCCATGCCTGCCCAGCATAGGTGCCTGGATGTGCCACCCACTAGTATACACACAGCTCCTGAGCTTGAACTGGCTCTGTGGTTCCCTGGAATTAGAGAAATACATTCTTCTGGTGGCCCAACTTGTTTCCCAGCATAACACTTGACCCTTATGAACCAACACGTCTCCAATTACAGATCCTCTGTAAAGAAGCTTAGTACAGTGATTTGGAAAGAAATGGAAAGGCAAAGACCCTGTGGTATTTGGAACATAGCTGGGACTTGTAGAGGGCCACCAGCACTTGGAGACATGTGTTGGAGCCCTTTCCCACTGCTCCCCTAAGCTGACTCTGCACCTCAGTCTCTGCCCCGTCTCGTTGCAGGGGAATGTTCTTGGTGAACTGGGCCAGAAAAAAGGAAGAATTGAACACAGCCTCAATTGTTGCACAGGGAGATGTTGGCTCTCCGGTTTCGCACGGTATTGTATCTGTAAGACCCTCTTTTCCCACCCAGATTACTTCAAAAATATCTCTTTCTTGAAACATATGCGCACACACACACACGTTCAGAGGACATATTGCCATCATTGCCTCTTGTCATACCTCTATGCCCCATATCTGCAGTCCCAGCTTTCTCTCGATAGTCGGGAGGTTTGTGTTACCGTCTGTCATCCTGCAGTCTGAGCTAGAAGGGAAAGGAAGAAGAAAAAACAAAATAACTGTATAATTGGATACAACAGTAAGTGTGCCAGTCAGCTGGGTTCCTCTTACCATCAGTGGAGGTTTATGACACATAATCCACACCTTGAAGTGTCTCTATCTCTCTGCTGACTATGAAGAGAGCACAGCTGTAGTAATCAACAGTTAGGTGGGATGAAGTCCCATTCCCAGGCTATCCATGCTCATGGAGGGCCAAGCACAGTGTGGGATTGCAGCCCAGCAAAGACTGGATAGGATACCATTGTTCTGGTGTGTGATTATTTTTCCCCTATTTGAATAGGTGGAAAGGTCTCGCTGGGGTGTTGTCCCTGACATCAGTACTGTGCTGTTCCCACCATGGCACAAAGGGTGGCAGAGATAACAGTGGACCTCCAGGAGACCCATGCCCTCCTAGAGCAGCCATGGGAGGTCAAGTCAGGTACCTTGGAGCACTAGGAGCCTAAGGAGTGAAGCCCTTCCACTTCAGGATGAGATTCAGGTCTAAATTAAGACACCTGCAGGTATCTCAGGGCAGGGCACGAGGCTCTCAGCTCCAAAAAGGTCAATGGAGATGTAGCCAGTGCAGGCAGCAGAGCATATGGAGCAATCCAACTGATGACCCAGATGTCTACTTTACACATAGCCAAGCAGCTCTGTAGGCTCTGCTGCCTGTATGGGGAAAATGTAGCTTTCAGTCGCCCACAGAAAGGCGTCTGGGGGCATTTGAGATGTTTGTGGTATCTCGAGCTGCCCCGCTGATGGGTAAAGGTCTCCCATCCATCCTCTATTATATCTACCTGCTGTGAAAAGAAAAAAAAGGACAGCTGTTAGCTATGGTCCCTCTTCCTACTGCTTGGATAGCTGAGGTTTTGCTCAAGAAGCAACTCCTGAACCCAGCTTGTTTACGGGGCAAGCTCCTGAAGCAAATCAAACCCAAAACTAATGTATATGAAATCACTGGGTTACATCCTAGGAAAGCTGGGAGGCCCACGGGGCACAGTAGGTGTCTCCTGAGCAGCTTGGCTCCAATGGAGAGGCCACAGGACAGATTGTGTTTGTGTAGGGGCAAGACCCATATCAGCCATTCCCATATGAGTCAATCTTGCTCACAAATCAAAGCCCAGCTCCGAGAGAAAACACGGCTCACTGATTTCTGCGTTTTGCATTCATTTGCTTCACCAGTGCGCTCCCCTGATTTGCATTTGCTCATGACAGACTGAACGATTGTACAACGTTAAAAACAACAACCTGATTGACTGCATTTTCTTCTCTGTCTCTGGATGTAAAGGCTGCACTGATCGTAGGCCACGGCCTCTCCTGCGCTCCCCTGCTCAGCTGTAGGAAACCGCCTACGAGAAGGAACGATGCCACGGCTGCCTCAACTCATCACAACAACTGAGCCACGACAAGATGAAAAATAAAAGAAGCTATTGCCCAAAGCCATGGAACGAGCTTCTTCTGAAGGAGGAAAAGAACAAAGACAGGTGATCCCCTGCCAGAAGGTGTGTTTATTGCTCGTGTTATGAGAGCACGGAGAGACGTGCTGCGCTTGGCACCATGAAGTCATAAGAAGCAATGGTCCTTCTCCTGAAGAGTTCATGTACTAAGTATGAGCATAAAAAATGCTGTTCTAGGCAGGAACATTGCTCCATCCAGATCTCTCGTGGTCCAGAGAAGCCAGACCCTGCTCCTTGCACAGGTTGTAGAGAGATGCAGGTACCTCCAGAGGTGTTTTGAGAACAGCCCCAACACATGTCTGCTAACTGAGCAGGCACCCACCATCTGGCAGCACTCAGTAAGGGAATCAGATGTGCTGACTCCTTCCTGAACACAGATATATTTGAAGGACTGTGGAAGACTGAGACCATGTGGCCTCACGTACCTACCAGGAGCACATTCAGCAACCTTCATGTCCCTTTTGGTTCCTCCAGGTAGCTTCCAGGCAAGAAGACAAACAGCAAGGAGGAAAAAAAAAGGCACTTTTCATCTCAATTCCCAGAAAGGTAGTTGAAACCCACACAGATTAAAAGCCAGATCCAGGACGATATTTCAGTGTCTACAGAGGATCTAGACACTTTTCTGAATGGGGTCCTGACTCATCTACTATGAAGTCCATGGTTATCAGGAACTGAATCCAAAAATATGATCCCAGTTCAGATCTTTAACCAAAAGACCTTTCCTTTCCTTTTAACATGGCATTTGAAAGGTCCCTGTAAAAGAAAAAAACAAATAAAGCCTCCTTCCCTCAGCTACCTTTTTTATCTAGGGTTTTTCTTTCCAGCATCAAAAAAGAACAACCTGAAAATAAAGCCAATAAAGATGTTTGTCTGTGAGGGAGAATTTGAGGAGGGGGCTGGTGTGTATGAATCTTTTTAGCAAAACTGACACTGCTCCCTGTGGAAGGCAGCAGGCATCTTGCTCGCCTGCTAACAGCTCAGGAAACCGGCAGCTGGCCAGCTGTGAGACACAGCTGGCTCCCTGCTTCTCCCACCATCCCAACCTCTCCGTTGGAAAAAGTTAACCCAAAGGATGCTGAGATTCCTCTGAGCTCAGGCAGCTGTGTTGGACAAAACTCTCCAAAAGTCAGTAACGCTTTACTGATTCCCACCCAAACCTCTTTGACTCAAAATGGGGTTCTTGGATCTCATCTGATCCTGGGGGTCCTTTCTCCATCTCAAACCTGCCCATTAGCACTGGTCCCTACTTTTCTGGGAAATGCTGTCCCTCCCTCCCTCCTTAGTCATTAAACTGGGGGAAGTGTAAAGCACAGACAAGGTTGGCTGTTTCTTTGGACTCCAGCTTCTTTCGGCTGGTGGCCAACTTAGAAATAATAGGAATATGACTTATATAATCAGACAGCTCATTTCATTAATGATTTAATGTGGGTTTTTAATCAGATGATCCCATAATTCAACTCCTGCCCAGACACAAAATCCAGTATTTATGGAGTGAAAACCTCCCATCTGTGCTGAAATCAGGAAAGGCAGAAACTTTTCTAATTTAAAAAAAAGAAAGGGATGTTAAGAGGCTTGGGTTCACTGTGGGGTTTAATCAGCAGTGTCTGGGTCAGTTCCTATCTAAATCAAACCAGTTTTGCCCAGCGCTAGGTGAAACAAATTGGCAAGAAGCATGAATCAACTGCCTCTGGGGCAACAATGCAATGGGGAAAAAAACTGGTTATGGGGATGGACATTTGCTTCCTTGTACACAGACTCAGCTTTGCCTTCGAAAGGGGAAGAGAGACAAGAAAGCAGCTGTAGCTCCCCTCTTTGCCTCCACATTAGTAACATGCAACTACCCATCACCCACCTCCAGGGCCAGCTACCCCATTTTCCACCGTTTCCAGGGACTCTCACAACCGTGGAAAGAAGAGTCCACACCATGAGCGCGGGCTGAGAGGCAGCCACTGCACAGCAAAGACAACTGCTAGCTTGGAGCTGCTCTGCTGGGTCATCACCACTTGGTTAAGATACTATAAATTAAACCACAAAGAGCAAATGCTGCTGTCGGGGGAGGACAGAGGACCTGGAAACCGAATGTCAGCAGCTGGCCTCTTGGCTGAATGTCACCACCAGGACAACCTGGAGCCTCCAGAGGTAAAAGCAAAGCCATCCCTAATGTGATTTCGGTAACAAAGCTGGTAGGTGAGGGTGGATGGGTCTCTACTACACCCACTCCCCTTCACACACTGCCAAAATCACGGCAACGCTCCTGCTTGCTAAATGTGATCCCCATTCCCTCTCCAACCAGCACAGAGTGGGGAAAAGCTTTGCCTTCAGGAAGGACTAGATGACTAATTAAGTGTCAAGGTCACTCCCAAGATCAGTTAATGAATAACAGTTGGGTAGAAGTGCCAGCAATCACTACTTCATTTTGGTCAACCTGGTACGTGTTGAGAAAGCAGACCTAGGAGGACATTTCTTCAGGCAGACTCAGGCTGTTTGGGTGGGGAGGGGAAACAAGGACTCAGAAGGGGGATAGGAGATAATTTCAAACTCCTGAGGTTCGTTCTGAATTAAGCCTGATTTGGCTTGTCTGGGTTTTGGCGGCGCACTTACTCGGCTGTAGTCACGGTAATAAAAAAACCCCAGTGAAATGACTAATGCTCTGTACAGCTTCGGGAAAATAGGAAGCAGCTGTGGCTCCAGCCTTTCCAGGCTGAAAGGCCTAATTATTGGGAATACTTGGACTGGCATTAGATGAGGTAAACCAGGGCTGTTGAATTGCTTTCATTGTCTCCATTATAGCTGGGCATCTGGGCCCAAGTAGGTGCCATTTTTTGTTTGCAGAGAGGACAGCAGTTAACTCTCATTTTGCCCAGAGGAAAGAAATTTGATGTTGAGTTACCTTGTGTGGCTCATCAGCTACTGCCTGGGACTGTTGCTTTGAACAGTGACTGTCCCTAGTGAGTGACTGCCCAAAAGCACAGCACTCAACCAGTATAAGCTGTCTTTTATTTTCCTGTTGCAGGAGGAGAAAAAGAGGCTTTTATCTCACATGGAAAGGATGGTAGGGAGGTCCAGCAATGGGGTTGTCTTCTCTCTCATGTTGTCACACACTCAGGAACATAATATTCTCCTCCGATTTTCTGGCAGGAAGGCAAAGTTTGCATAGGTGAAAGCACATGCGACATACATCTCCATATGTGTATATTTGCGTTGGTGACAGCTCCTGTCCTCTTGCACAATCGCAGGAAGGGTTGCAATCAGAGAAGCTGAATCGCATCACCCTGTTGGATGTGCTGGGACGTGGTGATGAGGCAGGGGATGGGATATGTGCTTTGGGAGGTGGCAAAGGAGGAAGTACAGCATAGCTCACCCTCCTCCTCTGGGTCCCTTGAGGTCCAAGTTCAGGAGCTCGTTGTGGCCAGTGTGCCAAGGAGATGGCTCTGCGCAGATGCGCCTGGCTGACCACAGAGAGCACTTCAGTCTTCTTGGAAAGAGCTGTTGCCTGGCAGCTAAAATTACGTAAAACAGTCCTTGAAAT